AGCTTTAGAAGTCTTAAAATCCAGTAGTATAAGTTCCCCAATTTTTATTTTTTTCCTGGATCGCTTGGATAGTCTCAATCCTTTGAGTTTCCACATAAATTTTAGAATCAGCTTGTCGATTCCTATGAAAAAACCTGGTGGGATTTTGATTGAGAAACATACTACAAATGTTTTCACACTTTGCTTTCTTCTCAGTGACCACCATTCTCTAGTCATGCTGCTGACAAGCATTTTCATATAGTTCTACACCCCTCACCAAATCTCTCTCTCAAACTAGAATCACTTCTAAACCTCTGATTCTTTTGATTCATCTTGTTTAATTTCAATGTTATTTCTGTTTCATCATCTACAATCCTTTCCTCTCTTCCTTCAAATCTCAGTGTTCCCTTTTTTAAAATATAAATTTAATCATTATTTCTAGGTGTAATGATTCCCTACTCTGGTTTCACGTGAGAGAAAGAACCCCAGTCTAATAGTTCAGAACAGTTATCCTCTTTACTGAGCTCACCACCTGGCTTGCTCTCTTTCTCTACCATGGGCTCTGCCACTGACTGTGTGACCTTATACAAGTGATTTACTCCATCAGGGATTCAGCTTACCTATCATTAAGTGAAAAGATTAGACTAAATCTATGTTGTGGTGGTGGTGGTAAATGTTTTATTTTGTTAATACCAAAACTCCTTTAAGAATCTGAAGAAATTTGTGAGCTCTCTTTTCAAGGAAAAGCAAATTCACAAAAAACATTTTGCAAATCATTTCTGAGTGTTTACAAACTTCATAGAGCCTATCCATGTACTTCAGCTTAACAATCCCTAGACTAAATGTTTTTTTCTTCCAATAGCTCTCTCTGGCTCTAATACTAATTTCTCTTAGAAATAGAAATAGGAAAGTAGCAATTTCCAACCCTACTAAGAACATAACTCTGAAAAAAATGGTGTTCATAATGGATAGACTGTCCAGACAGAAAATCAGCAAGGAAACATCAGAATGGATCCGCATGTTAAACAAATGGACTTAATGGACATATACAGAAATTTCCATCTAACAGTAGAATACACATTTTACAATGTGTGTGTGTGTGTATGTGTGTGTCTGTGAGTATGTTTTAAGCTGTGTTATTACAGAAGAGTCAAAAAATTTTTTAAATTTTAAGGTCCTCCCAAGTGCACATGTAACATTCTCCTGGAAAGATCATATGATAGGTCACAAAACAAATCTTAGTAAATTTAAGAAGATTAAAATCATATCAACTATCTTTTCTGACCACAATGGTACGAAACTAGAAATCAACAAGAAGAAAAAAGTGAGAAGATCTACAAATATGTAGAAACTAAACAACACACTTCTAAACAACCAATGAGTTGGAGAAGAAATCAAAAGAGAAATATAAAGATTATGTCAAAACAAATGAAAATGGAAATACAGCATATTAAATCTTATGGGTTGTTTTCATACGAACTGGGGCAGCACAAGAAGACAAGAGCAACCTTAAAGGATCTTCCATAGGCTGAGATGATACAATTTCAACAATAAAAAGGAAATAATTATTATATTTCACTGAAAAAATTCTGAGAAAAAATTATGAGCCTATAAGGATAGCTAAAGGAAAAAAACATAAAGTGTACTAGAAATAAAATTTCAACTCATAAAATGAATGATTATATAAAATATATTAATGATAATCATGTTATGCTCTTTATCCTCTTAATATTAATGTTAATTTTTATTGGAATTGTTTATTATACCAAGAAATTTTTAAATACATTTGTGTGCAGTCATGTGCCCCATAACAATTTCTCAGTCAACCACAGACCACATATACGATGGTGGTCCCATAAGATTATAATGGAGCTGAAAAAGTCCTAGTGATGTCACAGCCATCATAATGTCATAACAGTGCATTAGTTGTTAATATAAAATGATATAAAGAAATATTTTTGTACAGCTGTACAATGTGTGTGTTTTAAGCTGTTATTATAAAGTCAAACAGTTTTTTAAATTTTAAAGTCTATAAAGTAAAAAAGTTACAGTAAGCTAACTTATTATTCAAGAAAATTTTTAAATAAATTTAGTGTAGCCTAAGTGTATAGTGTTTATAAAGTCTACAGTAGTGTACACTAGTGTCCTAGACCTTCACATTTACTCACCACTCGCTCATTAACTCGCCCAGAACTTCCAGTCCCGCAAGCTCCATTCATGGTAAGTGTCCTCTACAGGTATACCAGTTTTTATCTTTTATACAGTATTCTTACTGTATCTTTTCTGTGTTTAGATACACAAATATCATTGTGTTACAGTTGCTACAGTATTCAGTACAGTAACATGCTATGTAGATTTGCAGTCTAGGAGCCTTATAGCCTAGGTATGTAATAGGCCAACCCATCTAGGTTCAATGTTTGCACTACAAAATCGCCTAACAACACATTTCTCAGAATATACCTATCATTAAGCGACACAAGACTGTATTCATTTAAAACTATCAAAATTTATACTTAGAAGGGTAATTGGCCCATTGACCATGAGGCAGATATTGACCAATGACTTTAGAATGAAAGTTGATAAAAGAGAGAAAGTGAATATTAGAAGGGTATGGAATCCAATCAAGCAGTGAAGTAATTAGTTAAAATCTGGATGGAGAGGTTCATTACCTCATCAATACAAATCAGGAGGGCAAAAGAGAGTCTGTTATAAAACAATTGGATGGTCCAAGTTTCAAGGAAAAAACTTTGGCTTAAAAGGCCCATTACAACAAGAAAGATTTCAGTTTGTATATCAGTTTGTTTTTGCTGCATTAAAAAACACACCAAACTTAGTAGCTTAAGCTTTCTCTCCATTCTTGGGTCTATTGAACAGCTCTTCTGCTCTGGCCTGGTTCCAGCTGGTGCTGAATGGTCAATGTCAGGTGTTTAGAAGGTTGATTGGTCTAGGGGACCTCAACTGAGATGGCTTACGTCTGCTCCACATGGTCTTTCACCCTCCAGTAGGTCAGCCCGGGCTTCCTCACATGGAAGTCTATAGATTCTAAAGACAGTACGAGAGAATAAGTCCCAATGTGTCATGTTTGCTACTGTGGCGCTGGCCAAAGCAATTCAACGACCAAGCTCAGAGTCATTGTGAGAGAAGATTACTCAGAGAGCATTACTGTACCATTATTGCCATTACTGTAATATCCTACTACCATTTGATAGTAGTTAACTTATTAGATTTGCAAGTGTTGCTCAAATGCTTAGAAATATTTTATTTGTTAGATTTATAAGTCTACCCAATCAGCATTTGAAATGTTTGAGAGAAGCAGACACATAAAATTTGGATTGGGGTTTGAAATGTCTAACAAAATTTAATCAAGTTGCAAGTAATGTTAAATGTTTAAAGATAATTTAATCTTAAATTTATGAGTTAATTGCACATGACTCAAAGAACAAGTGATTGTTCTTATTGTATATAAATATTACTAGATTAATAAATGGACTAGCAAGATTTATAAATTGAATTTAAAAGCTTGAGAAAAACTAGGATTTAAATTTTGCAACTCAATGTAAGTGAATAATAATTAAAACACCAATTATTCTAAATAATTTTTCCACAAACGGAAACTCTCTCCAGCTTGAATAAACTTCAGTTGACATATTTATTCAATTGCTATTCAAAACACATTTATCGATTGCCTGCTATGAGACAGGTGCTAGTCTAGATACGAGGAATATAGTAGAAAATGACTCCCAGTCTCTTTCTTCATTGAGATTATACACTAGTGGAGGATATAGGGAGATGATGGAGAGACAAATGCCAGTCAATCAGAGACCAGTTCCTTATTTCCTGATTCTAATCCCATCTAATCTATGGCAAAGGACACTCTGTCTCCTCTCTCACTGTGCAGGAATAGAAGCAGTGGCCAGTTCCCTTTTTCCATTGCCAAAGACAACACTAAGTTCTCCAATTTCTTCCTACCTGACTCCAGTTTTTGAACCCAGCTCCTCTCACAATCAATCAATGAATCTACAAATGTTTATTGAGCATCTGTTATTTCTGTCAGGGCAGAGAAGAAGGGAAGAGAAAAGTAAGAACAAGAGAACATGCAGTCCACTGGTGATGTGCACTCAGCAAGTATTTACTCAACACATCACACCCAGCTAAGCACTGAAGGATGAAAGGAACACAGTGGTGAGGAAGCCAGGATACCTGCCATTAAGGAGGACCAATCTGCAGCAAGGCAAGATCATAGTTCATTCCATCAAAGACACCCATTTGTTTACATTTTTTAAAAATTTTAATTGGACTTTATCTTACAATAGTGATACTATCCAGTTTTCAACTGGATGAAATACAGTAACTGTAGCACAAAGCAGTATCATGCCCCGAGAGGTGTGTAGAGCATATGGCAATTAGAACAGTGGTCCAAAGTCAGGCTGCACATTAGAATCAACTGGAAAACATAAAAAAAAAAAAAAAACCCTTATGCTCAAATTCCACCCCACACCAACCAGAATCAGTACAGAGAGGGTGGGGCTAGGCATGGCATTTTTTTAACCACTCTATGTCATTCTAATATGTAAGCAGGATTTAGAACCAGGATGGCAATGTTAAACTAGGGCACACATTCTCCTGAGGTTATAAGACTTTCCCAGGGACACACCTACATGGATACTTTAAGCCAGGGATCAGCAAACTAGGGCCTATGGCCCAAATCTGGCCTGCTGCCTGTTTTTTACTTCCTCTGGAGCTAAGGTGGTTTTTACATTTTTAAATGGTTGAGGAGAAATGTATTCATCAATGAAGTTCTATTGGAACATAGTCACACTCCTCTGTTTATACATTGTGCATAGCTGATTTTGCACTACAAGGGCAAAGTTAAATAGCTGAGACAGAGGCCACATGAATGGCAAAGCCTAAAATATTTACTATCTGACCCTTTACAGAAAAAGTTAGCTGACCCCAAAGCAAAAGATTTGTAACAGAGTTCCAGAACCTCAACATCTCTGTGTCCTCTAACAAGAACTTACCCGCCTGGGAAGTGCCAGCTGTCAAAGGGTTAGGTGTGGGTAGAGTGTCTTCTCCTTTCCCACATCTTCTTCACATTTACCCTTCTTCCACTTTCAAAAGAAAGACAGGCCTTCCACCAGCCTTGGAGGCATAAAAACCTCCGAGGCACTAAAAACAACAACAAAAAACAAACAATAAAAACAAAAACAAAAACAACCCCAAATACTGGTGTCTAAGAGAACTCTGATGACAATTTTTTTTTCCAAGTCAGATGAGTTCCTTTCCAAAACAGAAGGACCCAATCAAGTTTTCAACTGCCAAATCATTTAAAATATTTGATGATAGATGGCTATGTGATTTTTCACATATAATTCACAAGGGGTTTAAAGAAATGAATAACACTGTTATGACAAAACTAGTGGCAGAATTATTTAAGGAAACAAGGTTTTTGAAGGCTTGCATCTAAAATATTTAAAATGATGAATGCAGTGTCATTCTATGAATAAGCAGTATTAGTCCAGTTATATGAACTCATCTAATAAGAAGTGAATTTCAAATAAATTTATGTTTAATAATTACTTATCAAAACTTTTGTCTTTATTTTGATCAACTATGCACTAATAATTGTAATTATGAAATGAGGACCTCAATTTCTTACTGGCTATTGGGCAGAGGCCTTTCTTAGCTCCTGGCCACTTGGGCCTGTCCCCAGGGAAGCCACAGCAACCCAGAAAGAGGCTGGGCAACCAGAGGTATGGGCTTTTTGGTAACCTAGTCTTGTAAGTGATATCCCATCATTTTGTCTTATTCTATTCATATTCTATTGTTGGAAACCAGCCACCAAGCCCAGCCCACAGCAAGGTGAGGGAGACACAAAAGGATGTGACTACTATCAAAAGGTGGCACCATGGGAGCCATCTTAGAAGCTGCCTGCTACGAAGGTCAGATTTTAATAACAATTTAATCCTCTACATCTATTTAAACTGAAGATGAAAATTTTAGATGTCGTTTTAAAGATGTATTAGTGGATGCAGAGTTTTCCAAGATTCTTTTGGAAATAAACAAGTAAAGATGTTTGAAGACCACGGAGCTTCAGGCCTAATGCAGCTGAGTCCTGCGAGGTAGGATTGAGGGACTAACGGAGACGGTCGCCAGGACTGGGTGCTTTGGACAGTGAGAAAATTCACCGCTCTGATCCAGGTGGATGGAAAGTACAGGGAGAAGCTGAGTCTAGATTCCAAAAGCGTCAAAGGTCAGGCAAAGGCTTTTAGACTTGATAGGGAAGGAAATACGGCGGTGGGTTTAGAATGGAGGAAAGAAGGGGATAAAAATGCAGTTTTCGAAACGCAAATATGTCTGGAGCGTGTAGGATGAAACGGGAGGGCGAAGCTGGAAGCCACGATCCGGGCAGAAGGGAGTGGCGGGAACCCAGGAGAGAGGGCAGCGTCGGACTCCAGACGGAGAGGAGAGGATGCTGTCGGCCCACGTTCTGAGAGATGAATCATTACAACCGGAGACTAACAGATGTAAGGAGCCGAGGACAGTCTTTCAGCAGACTGGGAGTAAGTCTCTTGGGAAACACGGCACTCTCGGCTCTGTGGGACACAGAATGGTCCCGGGCCAGGTGCCTGGCCCCCAGGGATCCCATCTCCCCGAGTGCGCATCACATGTGCGGGAAATGACCGCTCCCACCTCCTCCCCGCAGCCTGACAGAGGAACGTGCCGAGCCGAGCCGCCCTTGCCTTCTGGAAGATGAGAAAGGAAAGCCAAAGAAAGCAGAGCAAAAAAGAGAAACAGTTTAAAGCGGGGTGGGAGTAAAGAGGGACAGGGACTCAGAAGACGGACTTTCTTGGAGACTCGAGTTGGGGCCTGATGTCAACGCAGAGAAGTCGGACGCGGGGAAACAGCAAAGGAGAAAAAGACGAAAACCAAACCTTCTTCTGGCGTGCGGGTAAGAGCGGGACGACACGTGGAGTGGGCTGGAGAGGGCCGAGCTGACCATCGGCGCGCGGTGGGCGGTGCGGGCGGAGCCGCGAGGAGGAGCGCGGGGA